CTAGCTCAGTATCTCAAAAAGCAATCTTTAGCTCCAAATAGTTCCTGCATGACCAGTGTTATTCAATGTCACACTGCAGCATCTTCAATCCTTCCCATGATATTGGCCGTACGGCTTTTGTTCCATCTGGCTGCTATCCATGCAGTTTATATTTGCCCTATGAAATGATTACCCTAAGAACTCATATCCAAGTTTCTATATAGTTAAAGCTATATAGATTCTCTGTGAAATCTGTGGGCAGGAATTAGATATATGGCCCATTATCAATACACAGGCCTTGTAATACAATGTAAATGCCTGGCTTTATGATGTTTTAATTTTATGAACACATTTTTTGGTAGAGTACCCTGATCAAAAATCCAATGATTAACTTGGAAATAAATGATCAAATTATATACTGTTGTGTTATTTTTAGATTTTTAAAACACATTTATTGTAAAATTTACTAGATCACATTATGTTTAGCTAGCATAATAGCTAAAACACTAAAAGCAAATTATATTTTGAAAGTAAATTTACCTTTACAATATCTAGCTTTATTAATATACTCAGATACACTCATTAGATGTGTATAAAATCCTAGGGGTCCCAGGATACCTTTATGGACACAGCTTTTATCTGTTGATCTATCTGTAGAAACAGAGATAACAGCTCAGAAGTGATCTATATCTCCCTTTTGGTTTCTTTCAACAGATAATTCAGAGTATTCCCAACTGTCATCAATTACTTGCTTTAATTAAAATCACAAGTGTTATATCAGCAAGCAGAAATAAATAGAAAAGAAATATATATCCAAATACAGTGAGTAAAATAAAAATACAAAAACAAACTTGACATACTTCATCAAAAATGAAAGCAAGCTAAAAGAAAACCAAAGAGATCCCAATCAGTCTCCTCCACATTAAATGTATGTTAGTGTTCATAAATATATTTATTTGGAATCTTTTCATATTTCACTGTGTATCTATTCATTTAAATATCAAGTCTAGTAAAAAAATCAAGGATTATTTGCAGTTTTTTACAAGCGTGATAACTGATAGTATGTAGCGGGACTTCTCCATCATAAAATGTTTACTAGAGAGCTCTGAATATTTGTAACTGCTTTCAGACAACTGTGTCCTATGGGCAAAAATCTCCAAACAAAGAAACAATAAGACTCCTTGAGTAGAGTAGCTATCACAACAATATACCAGTTAGCTAACATTTTGCTATTGCCTCATAGTTCTAGAACACATTCATGTGGTCATAGCCTTGTTTCTCTAAAGCCATTGACCTCAGCCCGCAGGGGGCCATCTAGTATGTCAATATGGGTGATCTTTTGTGCAGAGTGCTGCCAGGGCGATAGTAAACTAACTTTCCCTATTCTTATGGGGCAGAAGTTGGCTTATACCAAGGTACAGTAAGCATAGCACAATTTTCATTTTAATTAAAGAAATCACATACCCCAAAACAGTCAAGCTCAGAACCACTAGATCAGAGTCAACATGATTCAGGCTTTAAAAGCTCAAGTAGTTTCCCGCTGTGTCACTGACAATGCCATAAAACCAGTATCTCTTCTCATGACGTTCTAAAATTGAACCATGCTTAATATGTTCAACATAAATGAACAGAATTGCTTATTGAGTAAATTCACCTTTGTATAGATAGAAATGTATAAAATAAATGTATGTCATCAAAGTCTAATACTGTACAATATGAAACATCAATGAGTTATGTATGTCACTCCAAATATAAAGTTCCAATCCATAAATCACCTCTAAAACTTACTCTTTTCAATGAACAGTGTTAGCTGAGTGGTTAACTCTGCTCTGGGGTGATAGAAAATGACACTGACCTAATTATTAATACATAATATCACAAAGTGTATCTGCCTTCTGACAAAATTTGTCATTTTGGGGAGGTAACAACTCAACGTTCATGTATGTCTTTAGACATATGCCGTATGCTGGCTACAGAAGATGGATGTGAAATTTTCAGACACGATGCGGTTTCCAGGTGGCAGCCACCTGGAAATTAAGTGTTGTAAGTGCTCACAGTAGGTGAATAAAAGATAAACATTTGGTATTTAGTAAGGCATTTATCATAAAATGTTGGAAATGCATGAGGAACCAGAGAGTAGGAGATATATTTAGCAGACAACAGTTTGGGTCAGATGGAGGAATTACTTGTTAGAAGCAGACTGATAGAGGCTTAGAAGCAGAAAGTATATTAAATAAGATGAAAAGAAATCAAATATGACACATCAAGGAATCCTTTTAAGTGGTAAGAATACAGGCAAAGAAAAAATTAGAAGTGTGACTTCCATGAACCCACTTGATAATATACAGAAGGCTACTTCATCTGAGAATAGAGCTTCAATGAGTAAATTCCATTCTCAAAAACCCAGGGACAGTCTGGAGTAGAGTAGTTTTAAGGATTCCTGGGACATTTATGAAATTATCCTTAAGGGAAAAGTCAAATGTTCACATACTATTGTGAGCTTCCAAAAAGAGCCACCAAAGAGAGCATGTCATTAACTATAAGGTGGCTAATGAAGAGAAGTCTAGACAAACACTCCAGGCCTTACCTCTCACGGGTTCAACAGGCCAAACTGTATGCACTGAATTGCTGAAGGCCATAAAGAAAACAACAAATAAGGGGGGACACGTCCAAAGAAAGTGAACCAAAAGTGCTCTCAAGCAAACGATTTGGGAGGAGACATTAAAAGCGGCATGCCCTATCATGGCCCACTATGATCGTCACATGTGTTTGAGATTCAGAAGAGAACAGTAAAAGTTGTGGCAGGCACAAATGTAAGCAGAGATTTAAAGTCTAAAAAGTAAATTTGTAAGTCACTGCAAATGATGGCTTTTATGTCCTTGGGGATGGCAGAGATAACCTCAGGAGAAGTTTCTGTGAGGGGAGAAACACAGGAGCTCAATATATAGAGAGATCTCAAAGAAAAGGAAGGAAAACAATTTACAGGTGAGGGAGAAGACTGGTGGGGTCCACATCAGCCTGTTTTACATAGGCTGCACTGCAAGAAGATGGAGGACGTACACTGCACCAATGACATAACACAGTTTTGATACAGTCATCACTAAGCACAGCCTTTCTGAATGAATGAATGAACCAGGATGTCATTTGTATAAGTGAGAGTTGGCAAGGAAGAAATGGACCACTATATAAGACAGTTATGAAGGCCCTCAAAAAGGGCTGACCAACATAATGTTATAGACTAACCACATTTTTTTTTTAATCTTACTAGTTTTAACCATGTGTATGTGTGTGACAGTGTGGGTATGTGCCTGTGTAGGCCGGATGAGAGCAAGAGCTCCACTGAAGTTGGATTTACAGGGCTTTAGCTGCCCAGGGGAAGAGGATGTAACCAGTAAACCATCTTCCTAGCCTCACCTGAGTTCCAATTTAACCTTTCTTCCCAAGAAACAAACAAAAGTTCTGTTACTTTCTGCACGTTAATAATTATTCCAATTTTACAGATTTCTAGTAGGTAGTAAACAAAACCTTCAAAGGCTAAATTAATTTTAATTATGTAGACAAGAAAAAAATGTATCCAACCCTTAGAATTCCACAAAAGAAAGAAAATCTACCATGGTATACAAAAATACAATAATGAACCAAAATATTTTCAGTGAAACACAACAGAAAAGCCATAAGCCATTATTTCTTAGAAAAGAAGCATCCTAATGAAGTAGATTTTTGAAAATTGTCAGTCGGGTAAGCTCATTAGTTGCACTGAAAGTCCCCCTGCTGATCTAGGAGTACCTAATGACCAGGATTTGTTATGGCTCAAAAACAAAGGTACTTTTTAAATCAAGTGATAGCTCACTGAGGATGTTTCAAAAGTGGAAACTTTAAATGATGATACGTAAGAACACTCAATTCTCCAAAGCATACACAGACTTATTTCATCTAAAACATTACCTTTACTCCTCTAATATTTCCTTCATTATTTGGATCATATAATGAAAAGGAAATTATGCTTAACAATCATCTATACTATTAAAAAGCATTATTCCAAACATGAAGTTTGCTGCTCCCAGTGAAACATATTAGCAGTATCTGCTGACCCTTGCACACACATGCCTTTGCTGTAACAGATGGAAACCAAATGCCCCAAGGCCCCTGAATGCCCCCTGGAACACCAAGAAGGAAAACAAACAGAACAAGCAGATTACTAGCTTAGAACTCTGCAAGTCTTAATGCAAACTAAATAGATTTTAAAAGAACAGAATGTCAGAATATTTACATAGAATTAAAAGTATAATTAAATGAGTCAAAATAGGTGGTATTCAAAAACTTAATTTATACTCAAAAACTGCTAGAAAGAAAATGGTAAGTTTTTAAGGTACAAAGTGAATCAGTCCTAGTTCACATTTGTAGTCCTAGCATCCCAGAAGGTAAAGTAGCAAAACTGCTTCAAGATGCAGACCAAGTTGGGAAGCAAAGTTCTTTCGAAGACAATCTGGGCTATGTCGGCAGACCTTATTTCAACTTCCTATGGCCTCTAAGAAGCATTTAATAAGAATTATGAAGCGAGGAAATGGATACAATCTTGTAGTCTCTGCACTGTGGATGCAGAGATAAGGGGATTATACTGGGCATAACTATTAGTGAATAAATAAATTTGCAACTACTTAAGGGAATGGTGACCAGTAAAATATTCCAACTCATTGTCTAAAGGTACTAGCACAGATTCTTCTTATCTGCACAATCATCTTTACAACAGTAAAAGAACCCAACTGTATTTCAAGGGCTTTTGTGCCACTTCTAGACACTAATGTGCTACTTACACATGTAATGTTCGTTCATCAAGACTCCGAATTTCAAGTTCACATATTTTGACATTAGCAAAAATATTCCAAAATATCAAAAAAAAATCTCACCTTAAGAAAACCACTTTAACAAAAGAGATAATATGTGCAGATACAAAGCATTATTTTCTCTTAGAACTGAAGACCAGAACAAAGACATATATAGTTCTAAATCAAACCACAAACCTCTACTAGCTTTGTCTAAGTGTGCCAAATCGTCAACAAAGTGCAGGATGTCCGGGTGCTTTTCTTCACATACATCCACCAGGAAATGAAGGAGTGTTGTTTTCTGATCTGCCGATTTTATGTCCTTTAGCTAAATGAATGAGAAGGGGAAAAAACACAAAGTATTTTAATAATTAATTAAGTCATGTAACACACTGCTCTAGATCAGAAGTTGGTTGGAAAACTTATTTCAGTTCTGCAAGTATTTGAATATTTTTAAAAATTTTTTATTTAAAAGTATTTTTTTTCATTTTACATACTGACCAGTTTCCCCTCCCTTAAACTGAATACCTTTTATTTGATATTGTTTTAAAACTATTAACATTTGTAATAAAGGAGAAATAACTTCAAAGCAATCTAGTATGCAACTGTTTGTGGGGGAAAAATGAAATGTCTAGGAAAATAGAATAACCTATATACCTAGATAACAGTTGAACCTGAAATAATGTGGGTGGTTCATGTTTATAGTTTGGCATGCATTCAGACTGCCTACTACACACTGTAGGAGTTTAAGGTAGATACAATGACAAAGTAGTGTTTCTTTAAAGGCCGTTTCATTTTTTGAAAAAGAAAAACAGTGTACTTGCCTTGGTGTGACAGATACTATAGTAAAAACAGTTCACAATGAATATCTCGGAGGCTTTGACAGCTGAGAGGAACCATTGAAAACCAGTAGCTGAATAGGCTTAGGAAAGAGCATGAGAAAATCCCCAAGAACAGGCAGAGGGGGCAGCATCTTTAAAGCACTTCCAAGGAATGGACTTGCCTGTCCCCCATGGGTTGAATTCTAGAAGCTTGATCTTCAGGTTGTGATGCGAATGCGGGGGGGGGGGGTGCTGAGGTGGTGGTGAATCAGTAAACCTCAGACATTTCTCCTGTGACCCCTCGCTACTTCTCACATGATGACAACCCTGAGCATAACTAGGCTGCAAGCACACGTGCCCACACATGCCCTAGGATTGCTATCTGCCAAGATGCAATCTAGCACATAGAAGACTTTCAAGAACTGAGCCCAGGCAGAAAAATGACCTAGAACCTCCAAATTCTGAGATAAAACCCGTTTGGAAAAACTGTACTAGAAAATACAGCAACACAAAGCTGATAAATACAAGGAAAACGTGGAGTGGGTTAAGTAACAGCAAATTAAAAATGTATATGTGTTGGAGGATGCAAGTAGGGTCAATGGAAAGATATAAATCTGGAAAATCACAGAAAATAAAAAAAAATATGCCACATAATGGAAATAACCTGTCCTTAAGAAATGAAAGTTATAAAACTAGAGAGAGATGATCACATAAACTCTTAGACCCTTCCCTGTAGTGATAGGATAAAGGAATAGAGCGAAGGAAACAACAGAACTACAGAGGCTAACAGTAAGAGAAGTGGCAGTAATCCAGGCAGGCAAACAGGAGAGCCTGCACTGAGGATGGAGCTGGCTGGGGACTAGACAGGGTGGGCTGGTAATTCAGGTGACACTGCTCATGGAGATAGGACAGAAGTAGACAGAGAAGAAAATGCTTCAGTTTTGGGCAAAAAGAATTAGAAAATTTAAGTAATATGCAAATCGCAGTGTCCTGAAGTGGTGGCCACGACATAAAGAGTGCCTCTGAATCTACTGGTTTGCTTTCGTGGAAACCTTTGAGTTGTTGTTCCTGTTTGCACTTAGGAAATTTTAAGACAACAGTTATGCAGTATTCATATTTAGGTTCTCATGTTACACACATACAAATGTATATAAACAATGAAATAAATAAATGAAATCCTCCCTAAGAACAAACTTTCAGTTGATACTATCCTTGTGGAGAAGACTGTCAGATCTTGTAAGAACACACTGGTCTTGGAAAAATTTGTGAGCTTCTTGCTTCCAAAATTGTACAAGATATACAGAATGAGGGAAAAGCAGAGAAAATGGAAAATAGTAACAGGCACAGGGCGGAATTGACAAGGCTTGGCAATCCGTGCTGAAAGGAGCAAAGATTTCAATCAGGAATTAGAAGTGATCTAGCCCAGGCTTTGTTCAGGGATTGGGTCTCTGAACTTTTGGCAAGGAGACTGGCATTAAGACCAAGTAAAATGATGCTCTGACATGGAACGCTAGCACTGAGCTCTCATTCAAAAAGGATGCATATGTAAAGAACACATCGACCAAAAAACCACTCCTCTCATGTTAGAAAAGAAAGGAATACAGACCTGGAGATCGTAGTCTAAGGTGTGAGGTCAATGCTGCTTCTTTTCCAACAATTCACCACTTTACAAGGTGTGTGTGTGTGTGTGTGTGTGTGTGTGTGTTCCCTCAGGTCTCTCTCTTTTTTTCCATTATGGTTTGTCTGACTTTTGTTTGCTCATTAGTTTGTTTTCTAAATATAGAAAGCACAGAGAGTTGGGTGGATATGGAGATGAGAGGATCTGAGAGGATTTGGGTGGAAGGGAAATCATGATAAGAATATATTATACAAAAATTATTTTCATTAAAAATAAAGAAAAAAAACAAAAATATTCAGGAGTAGTCACTAGTAGTAGCTACAGTGGGCAGTGGAAGATACAGGATCAGTGTCAGCACAGATGAGAAAATGTAGTACTAGGTTAGTCATCTGACAGTCTGACATGGATACACATATGGAAGACTCAGAGGCTATACTGGCTTACTGAAAATACACTTCAAACAGTAGAGTCTTTGCTTAGTATATTCACAGTCCTGAGTTCTGACTTCAGTATGCTAATGTATACAAACACAGATAGACACACAGAAATGCACATATACACATACCACACCACCAAAACCTTAGAATGTTCCAACAGACATCTACCTGTTACTTAATACCTTCGGTAATGCACAGAGACTTTATACCATCTAGAAGAGAATTTCAGAAGTACTCTTTAAAGGCTCAATTATGACACAATCGTCACTAACATATGTGAGTGACCTCCTAATGGGAAGCATGCCCTTAAGTTAGCAGCTCAGTGCAAGTTATTAGACCTTAGTTTGCACACAGGGAACATTAAAATATGGAACAAAACATAAAAAGGGAACTCTAAACTCATGCTCCATTCCATACTCAGTAAACATAAGAATGGGTTGCAAGTATATCTAGAAAAACAACAAGATTAAAACAAAACAAGTAGAATACAAATAAAGAGATCCAAATATATTCAGTTTAAAAGTTATGTTTGCATGCGTGGGTCAGTTTCAGTTTGTAGACACAAGCCACAAACAATAATCTAATTTGTAACTTACTTATACCTCTATTCCATTCACACAGTCATCTCAGAAGTGAAAGCCAGCTCAGACAGTAAGCTTTCCCCTATGCGTGTGCTGCATTAAAACATTGCTCAATTTAAAAAATAAAACATTGTAGTAGCTAAGTTCCCCTATTTTTCATATTTTACTACTTGGGCATATTGTTCCTACACTGAACTCTGAGTCACCTACTATGGTAAGTGCCCGTCCTTCCATTCTATACACCTTTCATGAGAAACCAAGTGACATCCTGTGTGGAAAGCTGAGTAGGACAAAACATAATTGACTTCTATAATATGCAGACACTTAATACAGTTTTTCAAAATTCTTATGATGCAATCATCCAGTAACTACTAGGATTAATATCTTAAGAAATTTGTCATGAAACCAAAATCCACTGGATCAATCTCCACATTTACTGATGAGTGGTAAGAATAAAGATTTGGGGTTCTATGATACAATATAGGTTGTAGCATCTTCAAATCAAATAAATCCAAAGTATTTAGGTCTAACATTGCTTGTTTAGTGGTATAGAAAGGTCCTTCTGTATTTGTGTTGCTTTCATTGGTTGGATAAAGAAACTGGCTTGGCCTTTTGATAGGGCGGCCCTTAGGTGGACAGTGTAGACAGAACAGAATGCTGGGAAGAAAAGTGTGGCAAACGCCATGAATCTCCGACCTGAGACGGATGTAGGTTAGAATCTTGCCAGTAAGCCACAGTCACGTGGTGATACACAGATTTAATAGAAATGGGTTAAACAAGATGTGAGAGTTAGCCAATAAGAGGCTAGAGCTAATGGGCCAGGCAGTAATTTAATTTCTGTGTGGTTATTTTGGGGGTTAAGCTAGCTGGGCAGGACGGAATAAAAGGACCCACTCATCCTACAACTGTTTGCTGACAATATAAAGGTAACACACTGAGGAAAGGTGACACTTTCAGAGGCCACTGGATAAAAATAAAGTGAATATCAAGCTATATCAAATATTATTCAGTGGCAATCTAATATTAGACAGCAGAGCTAATGAATGCTAAGGAAGAACCCAAGCCAACCATCTCTCTTGAGCTGGGATTCAATTATTTTGAGAATTACAAAAAAAGAATCACTGAAAACTTCCAAGTGGATTTGAAACAAGCTTAGTAAATGAAAGGTCCACCTAGGAAGCTTCTGGTGACTATCTAGGGCTATCACGGTGTCCTTCCTGCCAAAATGATTGTTCTCTCTCATGAATCATGGGAAAGAACGAATTGTAAAGTGAAGCCTTAAAAAAAATCACAAAAGAATAATAAAATGCATTTAGTAAGTGCGTGTGTGTGAGAGAGAGGGGGGGGATTTAAATTTTTGACAAACATTAACTATAAAAGGTGCATTCTGTTTTTAGCAACCACTTTGTAATCAGTGATTGAGTTAGAAGTAAAATTGAGAGACAGTGTTAATTTTGAAATGAAAAATAACTTAAGCACCCTTTGTAATGGTAGTTATTAGAAAGAAAATGAAATGAAATTTCATTCGGGATAATGTTCATATTAAAAATGGTTTATTTAAATCTTAACAGACATTTCTTGACAGGATTTCCTTCTGCATGATTGTCAAGAGACTTATCTGACAGATAGTAATCATCATTGCTAAACAGAATTCCTTATTCATGGATTGTTTCTTTAATGTACATTTAATGTGGCATAGATGTCAAATAAACAAAAAGATGGATGGAGTTTCGCTAACCACTCTGTTCATTCCAGACAAAATAATGTTAAAAGCAGACCCGGTAATAAATCATGGCCTGCTTGTCAATCTGCAGTAGGACTCACTTGCCGTGCCAATGCAAGGTTTTGGAACATTTTAAAGGTGTTCGACA